GGGCACGCATGAATCAGCGCACTGAGCGATGCAAGGCTGTGGGGATTCAGTCTGGGATAATGATTTTGAATGACGCTTGCCTGCGTTGGAAATTGCGCCATGCCACGTTCGATGCATTAATTTTGTCGATCCGCATGAATCTTACACATTGGACATACATGGTGCGCTAGCAAGGGTTGCTGGGGGCGAAACAATGGCGGATCATATGCTGAAAGCAGCAAAACTTGCGGCCTGGTTCTTCTGTCAGCCCTCTGGCGGCTCAGCCGCCCAGGGGCGGGCCTGCGAACATGGGCTGCGAGAGCGCGGGTTTGCGAAGATAGAGGCTACATATGATGAGCATGTGTCGTACTGGACTAATTGGTGTCCTACTGGGAACGGCACTCCAACTTCAATGTTGGGAACGCCCCCGTTCGCTGAGCCACTTTTGCAAAGCTCATTCCCGGCCACCTCGACTGATGCGGGACAAGGAGCGCGACGTTCTTTGTCCCACGAGCGGTCATATTTCATTTCGAAGGGAAGAGGGCATCAGACGCATGTGCAAAGGAGCGAATTCCACTTCTTTCTCCCAAGGAGCTTGCCACACATTCCTGGCATGCCCCCCGAGGGAAGAGACGTGCGTCGCACTGGGGAAAAGATCCTTATCGATCAGTTTATGCAACAAGCGATCGACATGTTGGAAGCATCTCAACATAGCTTTCAGTCCCCCGCCCAATCTGCCAAACGGGCGGTTTTGGTGAGCCTCGGGGGCACAGCCCGTGGCCAGGCAAGGTAATCAGTTGCAAGTAAGCCTTGGAGGAGCGGTGCCAAAGGCTGGCTTTGCCTGCACAGCCGCGCAGAGTCCAGGTGGCGCAGGGGGGCTGGTTGGACCTGGCACAGCGACGGGTCCAACCAAGCACCGGGCGCGGTCAGTTGAACCCGTTAGGGCATTGGCCGCTTTTTCCCCCACGGTCCACTGGGGGCGATTAATAGAGGAAAAGTGCCCAGAGTTTCAGAAAGGAACACAGCTAGTCAATACAAAGAAGACATTTCCTCCAGTTGGATCCGATCATGTTCGCAGATGGCCTATGAAGTTGCCGCATCAGTCCACGATCGGAGTGACTGAGGGAACTGAAGGAGTTATCTCCCTGAAGCCTCTGAATGCTAGAGAGCTCGCTAATCGCCTCTACAGCAATAATATTTTGTGGCCAGGAGAAAACTAGGATGAATTGTTGCGGATGACAAGGAACAGTGAAACACTCGAGCGGAGAAGCGCGGTTGGCGGATCCATTTCTTCGAAACAGTGCGAAGCGACCGTTTCTGTCTGCGGAATATGGGATCCCGAATTGGGCAACATTCTATATTACGCGACGTGGTCGCACGGTGGCAGGGGGACCGAGAACGATTGTTGACCGCATCATGTGGGGCAAGGCAGCAAGTATTGAACACGCAGAGAAGGAGCTATGTGTCAAATTGACGCTACCTCTTAGAGTGAGAGAGGATAAATTGGAAGAGTTGATTTCGGACAAAAATCGGACAAGGCAGTCCCGCGGGACATCCGTTGGGGCGCTTCGTTCGCTTTTGGAAGGATACCAAATCCTCCCACCGGATCCCGAGTGCGGGGGAATTATGAAGAAGACAAACATTGGGGTATATTCCTTCGCGTACCCTGACGAGAATCCTTCGATCCACGCGCGATGCGCGATGGCGGAAGAGACTTCCATCGATGGGTAGTGGAACGCTGCGGAGATTGTATGTTGGAGTTGTCCGAAGCCCAATTCTGGTGGAGGTGGTCCAACACAACAATGCATTGAAAATGCCACTCGGGTAGTGATGACTGAGATGCGCATTTTCCATTGGCATTCCGCCGCATTCTTTGCGAACGGGGGTGGCTCTTGGAAGCTAATGCGAAATGTATTGGAAGACGGCGAAGCTGTAGACAAAGACTTCAACGTTGAAAGGACGAGGAACCATGAGAGAGCTGAAATTATAGACAAAGTCAGGAATAAGAAATGCCAATGGGTTCTTGACCTCTTTCCAGTAACTTGGCAGGAAGATGCTTCGCCATACCTTGAACATGAATCGTTCAATGGAATGCGCATGGGAATATTTGGAGAGCAGAGGCTGCGAACTCAGGTTCGAACGCCCGCTTTGGGCGGAGCAAATGAGGGGGGGAAGCGCGCGCCTGATGGCCGAGGGGAAGCCATGGCCAAACCGCCGGCGCAGCTGGCGGGCGGGTCTGCTTCAAGCGCGGCCATGCCGCCCTCGCGTACTGGCGTTAAGCAGGAGCCGAAACCTCCGCCGCCTAAATCAGCCAGACCACTTGCGCCGCCTGTTCCTACAGGCCAAGGAGATGCGACGGCTGCTGGGTCGGATGGCGACTCTCAAGAAGGGGGCCTGCCTCCCACGGCGCCGCCGCCAGGAGACAGGAATCCTTGGGAACCATTGTCAGATGACGTGTCGAAGCTGATTCCGCCCCCCCTGGGCCTGCTTCAAGTCATTGGCCAAGCCGGGTGACTCTGATCGGGTGCCTAAGGGAGGGGCGAAGGCGCCCCCACCGGATATTCCGCTTCAATGGAAACCCTTTTTGAAAGATGCTCCGCCTGCAGCGCCAGCGGGAACGCCAGAGGTCGGAAGTTCGTAGGATTTGACTATGCCTCCGACTCTTCCCCCAAATGACCTTCTGCGATTCGATATGCAGGATGACAGAAAGACGTCGGGCACGCCCGCGGAGACGCAACATGGGCAGCCCGGCGCAGCCGGATCTAGCCAGATAACTATTGAGGTGGGTGCCCCAGGGGGGCTCAAAATTCCCCCGCTTGACTTGCCGGGCCCCCCTACCGCGGAACCGATTGTGAGCGACCCGCAGCCCTCCCAGCCAGAAAGGCTTGATGAGGGTGACGGAGCGGGGGAGAAGTGCAATTTCGACTTGCTCATGCTTCCAACTGATATTGATGCGATGACCTTGTCTTGGTGGTCGTCAAGATAGCAACGGCCCGCAGCTCGGTGGCCCTGTCTTGGTGGTCGTCAAGATGCGGCCAGCAGCTCGAGCAGCGGCCCAGCGGCTCCCGCGGCAGAGCAGGCAGTGGACGCTGCGAGGCTTGCCGCCGCGAGCAGCTCGGCAAGCGGAAGGCAAGTGAGCCGCAGGGTCAGCCGCCTTCTGGCGCACCGCAGCTCGCCGTCCGTGAGTGAGTGAGTAAGGAATAAGCATCGTTCGCTCTCGTGTGTTGCCCTAGGGTGTGTAGGCACGCGAGGCGCGCTCTGCTGTGTGGGGGCTCCTGTGTACTGTCGCAGTCGAGCTCCCTTGGAGCGGTGGCCCAAGGCGGCCCCGCTGGGAGGCCGTGAGGCGGCCCAAGGTGGCCCCTCTCGGGTGGGTGGCCCTGCGGGGCCCCCGCGGGCGGCGGCCCTAGGCGCCCCCCCCGTGCTGGCGTGTCTTTGGCCCTTTGGCCCGCCACTTTGCCTTGAAGGCCCCGTCTTTAACTTTAACTTTAACACGCAGGAGCATGGCAGAAGAAGCAGGGGAATGGCAGAACACACAAGAGCACGGCATAATACACATGAACACGGCATAAACCGCAGGAACATTCCGCTCAAAATGGCAGTTTCGCTCGAGACATCCTCGAACAAGTGAGATGTTGAAGCCGTGTAGTTGAGACGTTTTTTGTTAAACAGGAGGTTCTTGTTCGATACATCCTCGGAAAACGAGCTACTGAGCTCGCTCGCGAAATTGAGCAAATCGTTAGATTTTCGCCCGAGACATCCTCGAACACGTTAAATGTGGAAACTGTTTGATTAAGCCATGTTTCGTTCAAAATAGGTCTCTCGCTAGAGACATCCTCGGAAAACGGCACTCGCACCATCTGAGCTCGAGGTCCTGTCTGGTCCGTCCATTCCACCATTCCGTCCTCTCCGCCTCTGAGGTTTCCTCCGTTTCTGAGGTCTCCGTTTTCTTCGTCTCTGAGGTCTTCTCCTTTTTTGAGGTCTCTTCCATCTCTCCTCCGCCTCCTCCGTATCCGTCTTCATCCTCCTCCTTCTCCTCTTCCCCTCCGCTTCCTTCACCTCCTCCTCCTCCTCCTCCTCCTCCTCCTCATTCTCTTCTTCCTCCATCGCCCACGCACGCCGTACATCCCCCCGCTCGTCGCCCCCATAGCACGTCTCGCACGCACGCCGTACATCCCTGGCGCCCGTCGCCCCCATAGCACTTCCTGCACGCACGCCGTACATCCCCCCGCCCGTCGCCCCCCTAACACATCCCGCACGCACGCTGTACATCCCCCCGCCCGTCGCCGCCATAACATCACCCTGCACACACGCCCGCACATACGCAATCAACCGCTCACACAAGCACATACACAGGCACGCGTACATACACGCACGCTCGCACCAGAGTAACCACAGCAACCACAGGCAACCACTAAGCTCGGAGAAGCAACCACTAATCCTGCCCTCCGCGCGCGGCGCGAATTCTGGCGAACTCTCTGTGGGGGAGGCGCTTGGGGCCCCATCTCCCCCGCGCGATCCCTGGCTAATCGTCTGGGGGAGGGGGGGGCGCGCGCGGCAGCGGCAGCAGCAGCAGAGCAGGAGTGGGAGGAGGAACAGAGGCAGATGACGACGAAGAGTGGAAGGAGGAGGAGGAAGAGGAGGAGGAGGAGGTGGAGGAGGAGAGGAGGAGGAGGAGGAGGAGGAGAAGGAGGAGATGGAGGAGAAGGATGGGGAGTAGGCAAGGCCAGCGCGGCACGCCAGCGAGGAGTTCTTTGGTGTGCTCAATCAGACGTTTATCTGACACGCCTTGTGGACAAAGCGGCGCTTCCCGTTTTTGTCCGGTCAGGTTTCTATTACAACCTCCTAGTATTATTAGTACGTTTTTTCTCCTTCCCTCTCCCCCCCTCCCCCCCCGTCCTCGCTCTCCCCCCCCCGTCCTCCTCCGCCCTCGCTGGGATGGCGACGCGGCGCCCCGCGCCGCTCTGGGCGGCGGCGCTGGCCAGCGCCGTGGGGCTCCCGTTCCTCCCCGGCCGGCCGAGGGCATGAGCTCTCTGGGCGCGCCAACCGTCAGGGGCAACGTCAGGGGGGGGGGCAGGCCCAGTGGGGGAGAAGGGGGGACGAACCTCGAGGCCCAGGGTCGGCCACGCAGAGCGGTGTAGGGGGAGGGGCGAGGGTTTCTTAGAAGCACCTCTGCTCCTCAGAAGGCGCGGATCTTGTCTGGATGCAGGGCCAGACAACCACCGCCTGGTGTTGGGGGCATCGATAGGGCGGGATGGGCATAGGGGGGACGCATCGACCCCCAATCACCCATTCATCGCCGATAGGGGTCTGATAGCCTATCGGGGGCCTATCGCCGATCTATCGACGATGCATCGCTGATAGCCACCGCCTGGGGGATCGGTCTTCGCGGACCTCCACATGCGGTGGGTCTAGATACATTCGGGCCCTTGGGGGCCTCGGGACATCGGTTCCCAGACGGTGGATATGGATAAATTCCCACCTCGCAGTCAAGGCCCAGGGGGGGAGGTAGTGACGAAGCTCGAGGCCCAGCGGGAGGGGGGCGAAATCCGAGGCCCAGGGGGGGATAGGCCCAGGGGGAGGGGCGAAGTTTGGAGAATTGGAGGTTTTTGTTCATGCCTCGGCGGTTTTTCACCCTCGTCGCTTCTCGGCGGTTTTCCAGCCTCGGCGCTTCTCGTCGGAGACTTTCGGATCTGTTCGTCGCTTCTCGGCGGTTTTCCAGCCTCGGCGTTTCTCGTCGGAGACTTTCGGCTATGTTCGTCGCTTCTCGGCGGTTCCCCGGCCTCGGGAAGCTCTCCCAAGAAGCTGCGCTGCGTCGCGCCTCGCGGAGAGCCGTCCTGGGGGTGCCTGGATCGTCCCGAGCCGCCGCCGGAAAGCCAAGGTGTGACCCGGATGCCGCCCCAGCGGAGGTACGTCCCACGCGGATCACCTCGGGACCTCGCCGCCCCTTGGGGGGCTTGCGATCTGGTCAACTGTCGCCACTTCCGTGGGTTCCTGGGAGGCCCAGCGGAGGTACGTCCCACGTGGATCATTCGGAGGTACGTCCGCACGCGTGTCTTTCAACGCCCCTGTGTTTCCATTTTTATATAGTTGCCGTTCCTCTTCTTGCTGCGCTCTTCTGATATCACTGTTGGGTGCTCTTCTTGCGCACTGCGTGTCCTTCGGAATGCCAGTCAGCATTGAGTGGTCCTGAGTATAATCGCCACATGTATAGAAAGGGTTGGGTACGTCACAGGGTAATGTGTTAGGGATGGTGGGCGGGGGGCGCATCGGGCTGGCCGCGCATGCTCCACACGTGGAGGCAGAGTGCGTTTTGTAGTGTTTTTTGACATGGATGGTGGGGGGGGGGGGGGGGCGCATGGTTCCTGGTTGGCTGCTGGTCGCCTGGGGGAAGGGGTGTACACTAATGCGGAACAGTGATAAACCTTCCCCGAAGGGGACAAGGGGTTTGGAAGAGAAACCGCCCTGGACCACATGCGCCCAGAGGACTGGTGGGATTTGGACAGATCGCGGAAGCTCGAGCGCGCGCTCTGGAGGTCTGGATTCTTCCCATGAGGGGCGGCCTTCTAGGCAGGCAGGGGGCTCCTCAGAAGCCCCCCCCCCCGTGTCGCAAGCCTTTTCAGAAGCGCCTCGCTCTGCCTCCCGACCCACCGCCGCTCGACCTCGGATCCAGAGCCCCTCCAGGGGTTCACCCTGGCCTCGGGTGAGGCCAGGACTGGCGTTCTGGAGCGCTCTGGAACGGCCGCGGCGCCCGATTCATCCAGAGCCGTCAGATCTCAGAGCTCCCCGATTTGTTCTGGTCCGATTCTGTCCGCCCCAGGCCTGGTTTCGTCCTGCGTGGCGGCGAGAACCTCCAGAAGCGTTTCCCAGGCAAATCCCAGAGCGGCGTCCGCCGACGGGCGTCGCCGTGCGTCAAACCAGCCTCTTTCACTCAGGCGACGTCGAGGAAGCGCAGGCGCGGATGGAGGCGCGTGGATCAGCGACCAGCGGCGGGTCCCGCGTTCTCGTACAGAATCGGCGCGCCCCGTCACCCAGTCTGGAAGTGCCGGCCTCACGTTCGGGCATGCTTTCCCCGATGCTTGGGCCTGGCCCCCGCACGCCAGGTCCACGGATCCCTGATCCATGCTGGTGCGACCAAACGATTAAGAGCTGCTTGGGGGGAGGGTCGCAACGCCCCATTGGGAAGTCGACGATTAAACGCGCATTCCCGATCCGTCGTCGTCGTCGTCGTCCCATTTTGGCTCAAGTCATCATCAGGGAGCTGTATCTCACCCAACCTCGCACATCAGTTTTTGTTCTTTCACCGCCACTCATTTTGTGTTGGCACACGTCGACTCCTGTCACCACGGATGCTCGCGGTTCCCTCGGCAGCTCCCGTCTCTCCAAGCTTTGGCCTAGGCGGTGGAGCGGCCGCTGCCGCAGCTGCTGCCCCTGCTGCGCCCGGGCACCGACGTGTGAAGGCAAGGACGACCGCAGGAGAGGAGGATGACAAGATCGAGGATATCATGAGCGACGGAGATACCGACCCAGGGGACGTCTCCGCCGTCATCGCACAGCCAGCTCCAGTACCTGAAGGACTTGAGAACGGTATGGAGACACGTTTGTTCAGAGCGCTGACTAGTGATTTTCGTAGTACCTTAGCCCAGAGCGTGCTCCCTTTGGAGAAAGAAGTAAAGAAAGTTGCCAACAAGGTCAAGAATACTGACAATATCGTGGCCGCCACGAAGACCGATTTAGTGAACCTGACCGCCCGTGTCACCGTCATTGAGAACGGAGGAGGAGGAGGTGGAACAGGTAGTGCTGGCCATGGACAAGCTGCTGGTAGTGTTGCTGGATCGACATCTGATTTGTCTGCCGCCCCCCCCCATCATCAGACCTCCAGTCAATAAGCGGCAGATTCTGTGCGTTGGGGGATACCAGTACACCGAGGGGGCTGGAGCTGACCAATGACCTCAAGCAGATCCTCACCGACTGTCACATCACGGGGGTGAAGAAGGTCTTTCCTGTGGGCAGCTATGCAGACCGTGTCAATATTGAATTCGAGACGAGCCAGAAGATGCGGGATTGCTTGGTCGCTATGAAGGGCAAGAAATTTGCTTCCACGTTTGCGCATGAGAACAGGCCACGGGACGCACGGGACCCTGCCAAGAGGCAGTTGTGGCACACGATCGACAAATATCCTGAGGAGTTGACCTGCCAGAACCGAGCCACACACGCCAAAGACCTTCTCAAAACAGCTATTAGTAAGAAATGGCAAATTCTCTCAGAACCCGAGCTGATGCAGATGATTGACGCGTCCAGGGATATGGGCTCAGCGGTGCTGCTCCGCAAATTCCTGCCCGCCGACGTCTTTCCGAGGAATCCGTTGAAGATCCCGATGCGTAATTTCCCCACCTACAACCTGAAGGTGATGCCTGAGGCTCAGGAATGGTTGAGGTCGCAGGGAGTGGAGATAGATATGTCCCAGCACATGGACGAGATCAATGGCCCACCCCGTCGAGGTGGCTCTTGATTATCTTCAGCTACGAATAGGCGCCTTCCATCTAGCGACGACACTATTAGCATCAGCTGGAACTGCAGGGGAGTTCCGATGCGTAGTGCCGCGAGGGGGCTAGAACTCATGGAGGCCGACTTCCATTGGGATATTGCATGTCTGCAAGAATTCACTGATGCGCTGGAAGTCTGCGAGGAGGTAGCTGGCCATCGCTTGATCCCAGGGCCCCCTGTGCGTGGGCGGAAAAGTAGACCAGCGATCATAGTGCATAAGACGCTGAAGGCTTGCATCATATTCGACCCATCAGCTTGGGGAACAGCATCGCCGTGGGCATCGTCACCCCTCACGGCGGAAACCTCTGGATAGTTTGCTCGCACTTCGACGCTGACACCAATCATCATAGTCAATACTACACGGACATTGCCGACTGCGAACTGTTGCTTGGGAGATGCCCACCACGCTTCACGTCCATGTTGTGCGTTGACGTCAATGCATATTTCGAGCGAGACTTTAGGCCATCCTCGACTGTCGGCCCCTACATTGATGGTGCTAAGAGCTGGAAAACTGATGTTTTGGACGTGTTCATAGTCAGCAACAACTTGATCTTGAGTAACACATGGAGTAAACCTTTGATGTGATCATGCACTTGCTTCTACGACGGCAAGTTCGAACCCAGGCAGATAGACTTCGTGGCCATTGACAGAGGACCCTCTCGCGGCTCCTACGACTGCCAGGCTCGCTGCTGCTCCGCTTGGAAGAGTGATCACTGCCCTCTAGTTTTCAGGTTCTTTGCCGCGAGGAAACCTGCGCCGCAGTTTTTGCCGAATATTGAGTGCAGTTTTAAGACCAAGCCAGTTGGCTGGAGATTGCTCGACCACACCTTCGCTGGGAAGGTGGGGGATCAACTCGGGATCGAAGCTCGCCCTGGGGCCGAATTTAGTTTAGATGGCGTGCGTTTTCGTTTGTATGGCGATGGCCACTTTAAACAGTGCAGCAGACATCGTAGGACTTGCGGCTGAGGTTTTTCGGCCTTCAACGACCCCCCAGGCATTCCCGAGAATTCGAGGACCCCGGGGGCCCAAGTCGATCCGCTTTTCCAGAGCTGTGGACCTGTCTGTCTGGATCCCCTTCAGGAAGGTTTCTTAGGAGCTCTCAGGCAGACCAACAACACCGCGGAGCTGACCGCGGCTATCGAGATGGGACTCTGGCTATTGGGGCAGCACCTACCGACAGGCGCGGCTTCGATTCCGAGAGGTTCGGTCCTGGAAGCCGTCTTCGATTCGACATGCGTTTTGGGAGTATTGCTGCACAAGTTCAGACCCAAACATAATGTTGTGTTAGCCTTATTACTTCAGCACGTCTGGGAGGCCGTTCCGAAGGAATACGTGGTCTTCTTCTCCTGGATTAAAGGGCATTCTGGGCGCAGGGGAAATGAAATCGCCGATCGTCTAGCGGAAGCTGGAGGTCAACCTATCCCTGGAGAAATGGAACAACATAACTGGTCCCGCACCCGGCCTTGCCCCATCCCATCCCTGAATGCAGAGAAGTTCTGCTCCATCCTCAACAACTCGGGTATCCCTATATCGGAACAACAGCATCTTTATCTTCAGCGCGCGACCCAGCAGGGGCCAATACTTTTTCACAGGCCGCGGAGAGACTTGCTTGGTCGGCCGCGCAAGACTCAGCTGATGACACTTGGTAGTGACGCAAAGGATGTTCCACCGTCTGCCTCGGAGATCACCCGTGTCGATCGCCGAGGTTTCTTCGTTCCTTCCCTGGGCTCGTTTACCGCCCTGATGGGCAGGATCGCCTCGACTTGCGGCGAGAAAATCCCCGCGGGGCCCCCGAACGTTCCCAAGGATCATCCTCTGAGTTACAGGACCCAGCAGTATCTGCAAGCGCGGAACACCGAGCAGGGCCCGACGCTCAGACAGGCCATGAGCTTGCAGCTGGCCCCGCTGATGCGCCAGTTCGCTTTTTTAAAGCAATATATTCGTGCGGCCTATTTCGTGCAGCATCGTAAAGTCGACCGTTTCCGTGGACAGAATAAGGTGCAGGCACTGAAGGTGGGAGGAGGGAACGAGAAAACCACGGCGGGTGAGGACGAGCTGAGGGAAGAGGTGGCTCGGTTTTATGAGACTCTATTTAAGGATCCGACGGATGCTAGCCTTCCCATATGGATTTGGACACACTGGGGCCCCGAGGCTTTGGAGGAGTTGCCCAAGCGCCTGGGCGCCCAGTTGATTCGGAAGTGCCTATCTCGCCCCAAGCCAGGAAAGACATGCTGCATACATGATTGCATCGTCATGGAAATGTTGAAAGAACTTAGCACCGAAACCCTGGACCTACTAGCTGAATTACATGTACTCCGTTTATGTAATCACCCCAGTGAACAACTCGACTCGATATTCAATAGACACCAGGTCACGCTGCTAGCCAAATTCTATGGAGCTTGCAGGGCCAAGGATTTCCGCCCGATCGCTCTGCTGTCTTGCGTGATTAAGCTGTATTCCATGTGCCTGAGCGAGCTGATAGAGCTCGATCAGATGCCCTTGTCGAAGCTCTCGTTTGCGTTCCGCAAGAGCTACCAGGTGCACGAGATCGTAGCCACAAACCGCCTGTTGATTGAGAGAGCCGTGGAATTCCGTGAACCTTTGTTCCTGGGGGTGGGCGACCTACACAAAGCTCACGATCATGTACGTCATCACCATATCATTCGCAATCATCGGAAACGTAAGATCCCCAGAATCATCACAGCGGCGTGGATCCGAGAAATACGCAGTGGACGATCAGAATTTCTCTTGCCCGGGGTGGCACCCACACGGCAGGTTCCTCGCACGCGATCCTTGCTCCAGGGGGGCCCTGAGGCACCCAGGCTTTTCAACCTCTTCCTGGACGACCCGATCTCCGAGTTTGAAGTTTTATGTAAAAAAACAGATGGGGATACCCGCTGGAACCCGAGGGCCTGGCCATGCTGAATGCCCAGAAGAAACGCAAACCAGGACCCAAGGATCACCCGATTACCCCTCATGGCATTCGCCGACAATTTCTACTTGCTTGCCTGCTCCGCTCAGATGCTGAGAGCAATGTGGACGGAGTGGCACCGTATCTTACGCCAGCGCTTTGCTTGCACGGTCTTGCTCAGCGACTGTTTCTGGCTCACGACCGCCAAGGACTCGGCGGCGACGCTGCGCTTGGAAGAAGGCCTCGCCCCCCGTCTCGGTCGCTCCGAGGGATTTCGTCAGCTGGGGGCGTGGATCACCCTGGATAGCTGCGCTTCCTCGGCGGTCAGCAGAGGCATCACGGGAGCCTGGACAGCCTTCAGCACACATCGTGGAATCCTCTGCAGCAAGCGCAGCCCCATCTCGAAGCGTCTCGGCCTCTTGGATACGATCGTGCGGCAGGCCTCCTTCTTCTGCTTCGGAAGTTTGAATTTCACAAGAGCTCATCTCAGCCGTATCCGTGCAGTGCTGTATCGCATGATTCGCCATATGTTAGGCATCCGCAAGCCAGATGAGGAATCCATGGCAGATTATATGAGACGGGTTTACCGCAAAATCCACGAGTTGATGATGAACGCCAAAACCATGCCCTGGGACCAGTACGTTTTGACCCTCGGACACCGCTGGGCGGGCCATGTTGCCCGTATGAAAGTATACGAACCCGACCGCATCGTGTATAAAGCCCTGGGGTACAAAGATTACAGATATCTCAAGCACCTCGAGGACTCCATAGGCTCCCAAGGGCACCATTATTCTTTCCACGTCTGGCGATGGGAGAAACAATTCGTTGACTACTACGGGCTGCAGTGGCGCGAGATCGCCCTGGACCCCTAACGCTGGAAGGACTCCGAGTTTGACTGGAGTAACTGGCGACGCGAGGTTCAACGCGGACAGGGAACGTCTAAAAAACCCAGAACCCACACCTCCGACTGCTCCTGGATCTATCTGAGTTTCAAGCATTATGCATTCCTGGCCTCGGATCTGAGTTCCTTCTAGTGCTGAATATTGGATCGACTTGGGGGGCTCCCTCTTTAATATTACCGCTCATTCTCACTTCCCCTGTAGAGGCTCAGTGCCTCCAGGCGCCAACATCGAGATTTAAGTTGCCCGAACCGCTAGGGCCCTGGAGCCACCATCTTGAAGGCCGTGTCAAGTCAAGTCAAGTCGTCGTCGTCCTCGTCGTCGTCGTCGCAGTCGTCGCAGTCGAGACCGCCAGACCGCAGCCAGCGACCCAGACGAAAAATACACATCTTGGTACATCGTCCCTGCTTGTCTTGTACAGTGCAGACCCATGCCAAGAAACATCATGTTTGCCTCCAAGGTGCCCTGGGCTTCTGAGGTTTCGATGGTATTGCTCTGGAAAGCGTGACGTTCCCACGCCAAAAATCAGTGGACGTCCTGGGATCTCAGGGCTGGGTTTCTTGTGGAAGGTTCCTTGTGGTCGGGCTTCTACTGTATTCGTTTGGTCGCGTCAGCGCGCGTCCGACCTCCGCTCGGGCCCCTGTCGGTCGGCCGGTCTTCGCCGCGGGCTCCGACGCGGGGAAGCCGCACCCGCACGAGGGGCGGCTCGAGAAGTTCCAGATGGACGGGAAGCCGAAGGCGAGCGGCCCGAGGGAAGGGGTGGTTCGAGGACAACCACGACGACCACGCCGAGAACAGCGGCGTCGATGAGAAATACACGACCACGACGACGACGACGACGACGACTACGACGACGACGACCGCAACGACGGGTTGACGCCCCGTACAGGCTGCCCGCGAGTGAGCGCCCTCGCTTCGCGCGGTGTGCCCGCGTCGGCGGCCCGGCGGCTAGCCACTGCGCGGGGGCTCGGAGGAGGGAAGGAAACAGTCAACATTGATAGTAAGGATGAGCGACTTTCCAAGGCTTCTCTCGCATGCCTTGCCGTCGGCCCATCCTTGGCCACTTTCGCTGGCCGCGCCCCGCTTGAATCGGCATGGCCTTGCCAGGCCCTTGCGTCCTTATCGTGCATCCGTACTCGTCGTTTTGACTGTACCAGTGCCGCTGCCCTTCCCTCGTCGCCACGGCTGAATTCACCTCGCCATCCTGGTCATTTTGGGCGCAGCAAAGAATCACCGCCACATCTGAGTGGATTTTTCTGGATTGCCCCTCTGGGGAGAACCCACCAACCTCGACATGAACACGTTGGTTGTGCTGTAGTCGATTCGGCCGTCCTCGGACGCCCACATCGGCCACACCCAGTACTAAGCTGGTTTCAGTGTTCTGAAGATTGGCATGCGCAAGGAATTCCCCAGGGAGTGTCCTCGATGTGGTTGTGGTCGCTTGCTGTCCCCACAGCTGGAGATGGGGTCGAACACACACGAAAACACAGCGAAATACCCTGGCTGGACCAGGGACGGCCTGGAGCACTCAGGGCAGCCACCATCTTCTGGCAGCCCTGGGGCGAGAAGCCTGGCAGACCACCCGCTGCTCTTGCCGGGCGCCGGCTCAGGGACAACCCCGCACCAAGCCCAGAAGATTCGGAGGCGGGCGACGACGAGGACACGAGCGCAGGCGGGGTTGAGCGAGAGACGAGGCGAGAGGGGCGAGGAAAGGGATCCTGGTCAGAACGTACCCCTGAGAGTTCCGCGGCGTGTCGGGGGCGGCAAAAAGAGGGGGGTGATGATGAGAGGGGGGCGGATAGCATGGCGGGAGCCATGATGTCTCCCCAGATTTCAGGGCGCGCCTCTTCTTATTTCAATACGTCCCTGGCCCTCCCCTGGGCCGCGCACATGCCCCTGGCCATGGTTTGCGCCCCCCCTCTTTGACGCCCCACTCTTGGTCGCCACCGAGAGTAACGGTATGGGTATCTTCTTGTTTCCCCAAGGGACGCCGCATGCTCTCGTGCGTGAGGCCCCCCTCTGTCTCTGCCTCTGCAGGTGGCCCTGTCGAGCCAGGACATGGCGAAGATCGAGAGCGGGGCGCTCTGGACGAGCGTGTCGGAGGAGGAGGGTGTCGGCAAGGGTATCGGCATCCAGGACATTGCCGCGCCCCCAGACGTCATCTTCGGCCAGATCGCCGACCTGAGGGGTTACGTCGGCAAGGTTCCGACTCTGAGGAGCCTCAGCGTCTACTCGAAAGCCACGGCTGGGGGGCCGAGGTCGCCGGAAGTAGTGGAGAAGGCGATCGAAGAAGAACCATTTTCGTAAGCAAGCTTTCAGATATTCTCATTCGCTTGCTAATGACTACTGGGGGTCAGACTTCTGGGGGTCAGAGTCAGCGAAGGGCAAACCAAGGAATACACATATTTGCTGAGAGAAATACTGACCCGGGCGAAGAATTTCCAAAGGAATTGCAAAGGAAAAGCAAAGGAACAGAAAACATATTTGTTGACACAAGTACGGCCCCGAACGGGGAAAATCCAAGGAATTGAGCTTACTCTTTTCTGACCCCCAACAGGTTGACCCCAATTAGCAGGCGAAGGAGATTCACGCGGGTTTCTTGGCTCGGTGCTGGAAACCCCTGGTGGCGCCTCGGGCGCCGCCCCTGGCGCGCCCCGCGCGCCAGGGAGGGGGCTCCAGCGCCGATCCAACAAATCTCCGAAAGTTGATGCCTGAGTTTTGTCGTACTCTCCTTCAGGCGAGCTACTTGGTGCGTCTTCTGCCCGGCTACAGCCTCGAGTACTACGTGGAGCACATCGCGGCGCAGTCAAAGAACACCCTGATGTTCTTTCTGGACTACAGCCGCTACAGCGACATCGATGATCCACGACGCTTCGCGTGAACTCGGCCAGATGTGCTCTCCCTCCTCCTCTCCCACCCCCTCCTCCCCGTCCCTTTGGCCCCTCCCCTCTCCCGCCCTGCCTGGTGCCGGACCTCGAGGTCCTGCCTTCTCGGCCGGCCAGTTCCTCGCCGGCTCCAGCATCGCAGCATCTCCGCTGCGTTCGTGTGGGACTCATGCGTCGGACGACACTGGCGGCCCTGGTCTCAGGGGCAACGTTAGGGGGGGATGGGCTCAGGGGGGATGCCTCGACGAGGACGAAGAGGATGACGAGGAGCAGGACGAGGAGGAGTCTCCCTCATCCCCGCCTTCCCCTTCCTCTTTCTCCTCTCTCCCCCTCGATGGCTGTGTGGGGTGGGGGCCCTCGAGGTGCGCTGTTTCGGGAACCAGTTGGGCTTGCCATGCCCCTCTGCAAGCCCTTCTGTTCCATCTTGGGTCCGGGGGCCCGGGGCCGGGACCTCGACCGCAAATGTGCACCCCGGGGGGCCCGGAGGCTCGTCGGGGCTTGCCGGAGGCCTCCCCGGTCAGACAAGACGGCCCCAGAAACGCCCAAGACGGCCCAAGAAACTTCCAAGAGGCCTCCAAGAGGGCTCCGAGATGCTGAAGATGGCCTCCAGACGTCCAAGGACGCCCCCCAAGACGCCCCAAGAAGCCTCCAACATGCGTCCCAAGAGGGCCCCTAGACGCAAAAATTGGCCCATTCCCTTCGTAAAACGTACATTTTTCACAAAGTTGCCTTTTGGGCTTTCCGACGTTACAGGACGGCCCAAGAGGCGCCCAAGACCGCCCCAAGACGGCCCAAGAAGTTTCCCAGAGGGCCCCAGGACAGCCCAAGAGGGCCCCAAGACGGCCCAAGAGGCGCCCAAGATGGCCCAAGAGGGCCCCAAGACGGGCCCAAGAGGGGGCCCAGAGGGGGACCACGAACCGCAAGCTCGAGCCTTCCGCCCCAAGAGGCCGCCAGGAGGCCCCCAGGAGGCCCCTCAAGAGGCCCCAGGAGACCCCAGACGTCCAAGGACGCCCCCAAGAGGCTCCAAGAAGCCTCCAACATGCGTCCCAAGAGGGCCCCTAGACGCAAGAATTGGCCCATTCCCTTCGTAAAACGTACATTTTTAACAAAGTCGCCTTTTGGGCTTTCCGACGTTACAGGACGGCCCAAGAGGCGCCCAAGACCGCCCCAAGACGGCCCAAGAAGCTTCCCAGAGGGCCCCAGGACAGCCCAAGAGGGCCCCAAGACGGCCCAAGAGGCGCCCAAGATGGCCCAAGAGGGCCCCAAGACGGGCCCAAGAGGGGGCCCAGAGGGGGACCACGAACCGCAAGCTCGAGCCTTCCGCCCCAAGAGGCCGCCAGGAGGCCCCCAGGAGGCCCCTCAAGAGGCCCCAGGAGACCCCAGACGTCCAAGGACGCCCCCAAGAGGCCCCAAGAAGCCTCCAACATGCGTCCCAAGAGGGCCCCTAGACGCAAAAATTGGCCCATTCCCTTCGTAAAACGTACATTTTCAACAAAGTTGTCTTTTGGGCTTTCCGACGTTACAGGACGGCCCAAGAGGCGCCCAAGACCGCCCCAAGACGGCCCAAGAAGCTTCCAAGAGGGCCCCAGGACAGCCCAAGAGGGCCCCAAGACGGCCCAAGAGGCGCCCAAGATGGCCCAAGAGGGCCCCAAGACGGGCCCAAGAGGGGGCCCAGAGGGAACCCCACGTGGGCCCAAGGAGGCCCAAGAGGGACCCAAGAGAGCCCCAAGAGAGCCCCAACATCGGTCACGCGGAAGAGCTCTCGCGTGACCGATGTTGGGCCCCTCTGTGGGCTCCTCTTGGAGCTCCGAGAGGAGCCAAAGATGGCCCCACGAGGGCCCCGACGAGACCCCAAGAGGACCCAAGCAGGCCCAAGAGGGACCCAAGAGAGCCCCAGCATAGGTCACGCGGAAGAGCCCTCGCGTGACCGATGTTGAGCCCCTCTTTGGGCTCCTCTTGGAGCTCCAAGAGGGGCCCAAGATGGCCCCACGAGGGCCCCGAGGGAGCCCCACGTGGGCCCAAGGAGGCCCAAGGAACCCCAAGATGGCCCCAACATCGGTCACGCGGACGAGCTCTCGCGTGACCGATGTTGGGCCCCTTCTTTGGGCACCTCTTGGTGCTCCGAGAGGAGCCCAAGATGGCCCCACGAGGGCCCCGTCGAGACCCCAAGAGGGCCCAAGGAGGCCCAATAGGGCCCCAAGAGGGCCCCAACATCGGTCACGCGAAAGAGCTCTCGCGTGACCGATGTTGGGCCCCTCTGTGGGCTCCTCTTGGAGCTCCGAGAGGAGCCCAAGGTGGCCCCACGAGGGCCCCGACGAGCCCCAAGAGAGCCCAAGAGGGCCCCAAGAGCGCCCCAACATCTCCTCTCCTTCCTCCTCCTCCCTCCTCTGCATGTTCCTCCTCCTCCTCCTTCTCATCCTCCTCCTCCTCCTCCTCCTCCTTCTCCTCTCCAGGGGAATGAAAACCAGAGGATAGCTCACGGAGAGCACAAGCACCCTCTTGTTGCATCCATCTTGGCTTCCAGATGGAGCCCAAGAAGGCCCCAAGGAGGCCCCTCAAGAGGCCCCAGGAGACCCCAGACGTCCAAGGACGCCCCCAAGACGCTTCGCGTCACCAATTTCTTCTCGCAACGATTCCTGGGTCTGTGACTCGACAGAACCTAAGCGCGCGCGAAGCGCGCGCGTGGTTCTAGTATATATATATATATATATATATTTGGGGGGGGTGACGTCCTAGGGCTCTCGGTGCTGTCTTGTGCCTTGAGCCGTCGTCAGGCCCTCTTGGGGTCGCGTATCGAGAACATCCTGCGCCGTCATGTAGCTCTTGTGGGCCTTCTTGGCCCTCATATGGGGCTCCTAGGGGTATCCAGCCGAGGCAAGTTATTAGCATCCACGGCGGGCGCCCGACAAAATAGCGATCATGCCTGTGTGAGAGGGCCCCGACTGCGGTCAAAGATAGTCCAGGGGAGCAACGAGAGGCCCCGAAAACGGCCCCAAAAGTGATGCCCATGGAGTCGAAACTAATGGATGAGGCTAAACGTGGAGAAGCGGAGAGGAAAGAGGAAGCTGTCCTCCTCCTCCTCCTCCTCCTCCTCCTCCTCCTCGTGGGCCCTCAGAAGGGCCCCCTGGGACCCTCTGGGGGCGTAGAGGGCGCCCAGAGGGCGCCCAGACAGTCCAAGGTGGCTTCAAGGAGCTCTCAGGACGGCTCAACGGCCTCCAAGATGTTCGAGAGTGACTGGAGAGACCGTACGAGTCTGACAAGGGGCTCTCAGAGAGGCTACAGGAAGTGCAAGGTGTACCCTGAGATTGGCAGCTCGTCGATGTCCACTCGGTTTTTGAAGTTGCTTGACTTCTTCCGTACTTCGGCTCAACATGACTCCAAGAGGATTTCAAAGGGATCCGATACAGTCAAAGGAGGCTAGCTCTGCCCGCCTTCCCAGGACACCTGTACGCCTTCCTGGGCCACCTGTACATTGCCTGGGCCCTCCCGGCAATCCCCCGAGGATCTCCAAAGGTCGAAAATCGTTCTCCTCACGCCGGTGGCCAAGGGCTCAGCGGATCTGATGGGAAAGTGGTACTTGGGAGACGGGAAATATGTGCACCAAGCCTCCACATGCCCAAGTTGGGTGCGTATTGGCTTCCGCCAAGCTAGGAAGCCGTTAGATATCAATCAGGATCTAGTCCTAGCGTGGGCTTCTGGACGGACGATTGATGTAAGCGCATTTTCAGGGGCAACGTTAAGAGAGGATAGGCTCAAGCCGGAATGCATCGACCGGCTATTGCACATTCATCACCGATAGGGGCTTGATAGCCCACCCCGCCCAGGAACGTCTGGATTCGCAATCGAGGGATTTCAGGTCGATATTCCCCCCCTTCAGCCCGTCCCCCCCTAACGTTTTTCTTCATATATTATGTTTCCTCAGGTACCTGGAAGAGCACCCCACCAGACCCGGCTGGACCCGTCTGTACTACCAGTGTTACGTGAAGCCGTGGGGTTACCGTGGGACACCAAATGTACGCTGGCATAGAGGTTGGCCAGGCAAATCTTGGGTTCAGGATGGGTGTAAACGCGCACTCAAAGCCTAGCCAGGACGGCGTATACACCGATCCTGGACACCCGATCGGTCTTGCCAGGATGTGTGTCGGCGTGTTGTCAAAGACCTCCGTTCGTGTGTGTGTGTGTATGTGTGTGTGCCGGCGCGCGCGTCGGCGACTTCTTTGGACGGCGTGGCGTTGCGCCCGACCGCGGACGACCGACCGCGGACGACCGAATGTATGTGTGCGTGTGCGTGTGCGTGTTGTGCTTCAGAACATGAGCCAGATTTTTCGAGCCCAGCCCCAGGGCCAGGCCGGCTTTCGATCCGAGTCGTTTCTGGACGGCCCCCGCAGGCCGAAAGCAGCAATCGGCAGGCTGCGTGTGCGATTTCCGTGCCCGGCGTCCTGCCAGGCTACCTCCCTTCCATGGTGAAGTCGTACGTGACCAAGAGTGGGCTCGCGACCGCTGTTGGCTGGGTCAAGCTCGAGAGCGAGAGGCGCGGCCACGACCGACACAAAGTACGATCATGAGGGTGGGGGATCATCAGGAGGAGGAGGATGAGAACGAGGGCAAAGGAAAGGACGAGCATGGTGATGGTGATGGTGATTTATGTGGTAATGATGACGGTGATGCTGGTGACGAGGGTGATGCTGAAGATTGATGGTGATGATGATGAGGATGAGGATGAGGATGAGGATGAGGATGATGAGGATGAGGATGAGGATGAGGATGAGGAGGATGAGGATGAGGATGAGGAGGATGAGGACGAGGAGGAGGAGGATGAGGATGAGGAGGAGGACGAGGATGAGGATGAGGATGAGGATGAGGATGAGGATGATGAGGATGAGGATGATGAGGATGAGGATGACGAGGAGGAGGAGGAGGAGGATGAGGATGAGGATGAGGTTGCTGATGCTGATGCTGCTGCTGCTGCTGCTGCTGATGATGATGATGATGATGATGATGGTGATGAGGATGAGGATGAGGATGAGGAGGATGAGGAGGATGAGGAGGATGAGGATGAGGATGAGGATGAGGATGAGGATGAGGATGATGATGATGAGTATGTTTATGAGTGTGATGGCGATGACGACCCGCCAAAGCGCCCTCGCCTGGGCCCACGCCGCGCCAGGGCGGCCCTCGGCCTGGCTCTGCCCCGCCTGCAGGCGCCGCGGTGGTGACGCCGCCGCGGCAGCGCGGACCGCCGCGGGCGCCGGCGGTGCCCGCACGGAGTTGCTGGGCCGACGAGGAGGGAGGCACCGGGCTAGAGGCCTTCTCGGAAGGCGACGGGGCTTCTCAGAAGCCCTCGCGCTTTCTGAGAAGTATTCCGCGTCTTCGGGGAAGGTTTTGACCATGCGTCGGGAGGCCCGGGGACTTCCGAGCCTTCGAGAAGGCCAGCCTTTTCCCATTTCCCCCCAGGCTCGCTGCCGAGGCGTCAGCACGAGGAAGAGGGGTCCTGAGGGACAGGGGTCCAGAGTTGTTGTCGTCAAAAGGGGGCCGCCCCTGCTGCGAGGCGACGGAGCACCGGCCTCCATGGCACAGCAGCGGCCGCAGCACCTGGGTTGCCTGCGAAGCCCGCTGGGCTCGAGAGCCCGCTGTCTGGCCCGGAGAGGGCCTCCCACGGGGGAGAGGCGGACACCCTGCGCAGCTTCCTCGCCCTCAGAGGGCGGGCGGCGGCGCGCGCCGTCGCCCGGCCGCTCGGCGCTCCGGCCGGCTCGGCGAGGTTGGCCGCGCGCTGGCGGCCGAGCTGGAGGCCCTCGACGCGGCGGGCCTGCGGCGGGTCGCGACCCGGGCGGCCACCGTGGAGGCGGCCCGGCTGGGCCTGCCACGCGGCGCCGGGCGCTGAGCGCTGCTCGCGCGGGCGCGGCTGGCGGCGCTGCCGGGCGCGCCGGCCCAGGCCGAGCGGGGCTGCGCCGGGCGCCGGCGCCCCCCGCGCGCCTTCCCCCCCCCCACCCCGCCCTGCTCCCCCCTCGCCCCTGCGCCTCTTCCGTCGTCCCCGTCGTCCGTCGTCTGTCGCGTCGCGCCACTGGGCTCCGTCTGCGCTGGCAAAAAAAACCAAGTTGTGGCGATGACGACGACGATGAAGATGCGGCCGCTGTTGATGGCGATGATCATGCTGGTCATGACGGAGGCGGACGCGGACAGGGGCGAGGACGAGGGCGAGGGCGAAAACGAGGGCGAGGACGAGGACGAGGGCGAGGGCGAGGACGAAGACGAGGACGAGAACGATGAGGAGGAGGAGGAGGAGGAGGAGGAGGAGGAGGAGGAGGAGGAGGAGGAAGGGGAGGAGGAAAAGGACGAGGAGGAGGAGGCGGATGAGAAGCAGGAGGGAGAGGAGCAAGAAGAGGAGCAGGACAAATACTAGTATTAAGAAGAATAAGAGTACTCAGACTAATGAGCGGAAGACAAAGGGAAGGAGGGGGATCAGGAGGAGGGAAAAAGTACGAATTGCAATCAATCATAATCGTAAGAAACAGGACATTACACATAATAATGCTGAGACACACAAGAATAACACTATCAATAAAAGCAGTGCAACAAATACTATCAATGCCAATACGGATCATAACACGAAATAGGCGAGCTCTCATACTACTACGATTAATAACACGACTACTAGTAATCTGAATGTGTAGAATATCAGCAATCGTAGCAATACGATTTAGGGTAAGAGTAGCAATCACATTCAACAACCAGTAACACTGATCATACAAATAACGAGTCAGCTCAACATAATACGAAGGCGAATACTGATACGAATATTAGCCATTACATTCAGAAGAAGACTGATGCTAAGGCAGGTAATGGACTAAGAACGGTTCGATTGAAACCAATACTAATCGTACTAACAGTGATACGAAATCGAACATCCGAATGCTAAGCGGAGGAGGAGGACGAGGAGGAGGAGGAAAAGGAAGCGGAGGAGGAGGAGGAGGAGGAGGAAAAGGAGGAGGAAGAGGAGGGCGGGGGAGGAGGAAGAGGAGGAGGAGGAGGACCAAGAGCGGGAGCAGGAGCAGGAGGAGGAGGAGGAGGAGGAGGTCCAGTGTAAACCCAAGAGCCATCAATGATGTTGGAATGCGCCCTCCCCCCAAGCTCCCTCTTCATAGGCTCCTACAGCGGTTCATTTCCACTGAGGGGCCTACTTCGTTGGAAGACAACTGTCTGAAGACCCGGAAGCATGCCAAAACATTGTTCTCGAGATTCCAAAGTCACGGATCAATCTGACAGTCGCGTCTTTACGATCCTGGATCGTGCCAGAACGCCATACTTGGGATTTCAACACCGCGAATCAACGGAAGTGTTGCACCCGCAACATCCAGAACCTTTTCGAAACACCATTTCTGCTACGTTGATCGTGGGAATCCGTGAGATTCTTGCATATTTTATGAACGAACGTGCCCGGCGCTAGGGCGAGAACCACATTTTGAAAAGGGACCGCCCTCAATGCGTGAAGTTCTTGCAAATGTTTAGAACGAATGTGCGCGGCGCTAAGACGAGAGCCACATTATGAAAACAGGTTATCCTCAATCCGTGAAGCTCTTCCATCTTTAAAGAACGAATGTGCGCGTTGTAAAGCGAGAGCCACACTGAGAAAATGGGCGATGCTCAATCCATGACGTTTTTACAGTTTTTAGAACGAAACTGCACGACGCGCTAGGGCGAGAGCCACACCTGTGAAAATGAGTGATCCTGAATCCGTGAAACTGTCGTACATGTTTAAAACGAATGTGCGCGGCGCTAAGGCAAGAGCAACATTTTGAAAACCACCAGCTCTCCATATGTGAAGTTGTTGCCAATGTTTAAGCTGCAGGGTTATACATGGTGAGGAAGTCTCGAGCGAAACGCCCGACCCGCCCTAGAAATTGATCCCAGGATGCGACAGGGAGAATTTGTTAATGAGGCAAAAGAATGGAGGAGGAGGAGGAGGAGGAGGAGGAGGAGGAGGAGGAGGGGAGGAGGAGGAGGAGAGAGGACAGAAGAGAGGAGAGAGGAGAGAGGGAAGGGGAAGGGGGATAGGGGGAGATGGGAGAGGGAAGAGGGGAGAGGGGAGAGGGGAGATGGGAGATGGGGAAAGAGGAGAGAGGAAAGAGGAGAGTGGTTGGGGAGAGGGAGAGGAGAAGAGGGAGGACAGAAGAAAGGCGGACAGAGGACATATGAGATATGAGGAGGGAAGGAGGAGGAAGAGGAGGAAGGAGGAGGAGGAGGAGGAGGAGGAGGAATTCGCTGGAATCCGCTGGTACCCACGAAGTGGTAGCGAATTAGCCAACGAGGACCCTGGAGGCGGCCCACGGAGGACGGCCTCCCGCCTGACAATGCCCAGCTCCTTGGCCAGAGACGCCTTGGACGGCCCCGAGGAGGAGGAGGACGAGGACGAGGACGAGGACGAGGACGAGGACGAGGAGGAAAACGAGGAGGAAAACGAGGAGGAGGAGGAGGAGGAGGAGGAGGAGGAGGAGGAGAAGGAGGAGGAGGAGGAGGAGGAGAGGAGGAAAGGAGGAGAGGAGGAAGGGAGGGAGGAGGGGGGAGGAGGGAGGAGGGAGGAGGGGGGAGGAGGGAGGAGGGGGGAGACAGGAGACAGGGAACACGGGACAGGAGACAGCAGGAGCAGGGGGAGGAGGAGGAGGAGGAGGAGCAGGATGATGATAATGAGGAGGAGGAGGAGGCGGAGGAGGAGGAGGGGGAGGAGGAGAGTGGAGGAGGAAGAAGAGGAGGAGGAGAGAGGAGAGAGATGGGAGAAAGAGAGAGAGAGAGAGACATAACAAAAAAGAAAACGAAAGAGAGGAATGAGGAGAGAAGAGAAAGGGGAGGAGAGAGGAGAGGGGAGATAGGAGGAGGAGGAGGAGGAGGAGGAGTAGGAGGACTTGTTGAAAACTCAAGACCTATCAATGAGTTTGGAATATACCCTTCCCTGAAGCTCCCTTTTTTATAATTCTGTAATATAAGCGGCGTCCGGGGCCCCGCGGCCCGGGGTCGCACACTTTTCCCAAACTCCCCCTCCCCCCGTAACCGAATTTGCCCCTTGGGGCGCGGGGGCCTTTTTTGGCATCCAGGGGCCCGTTTTCGGAGTCCCGGAACTTTTTTCGCTTCCCCGAGGCGTCCACCTAAGCTTCTGGGGACGGCAAGAAGCCGCCAAGACGGCTCAAGAGCGCTCCAAGCCGCCCAAGATGGCCACATGATCGGCCCAAGAGACCCCCAAGAGGTCCCAAGGTCGCTTCGCGAGGACCTCCAAGAGAGCCCCAAGACGCCAAATCATTGATGTTCATTGTGTGTGTGTGTTCCCATATGTTTTGCTTTCTCACGTTTTGGAGCGGCCGACACTCCAAGACTGCCCAAGAAGCCTCCAACGTCGCCCCAAGAGGCCCCCAAGAGGCCCCCAAGACGGCCCAAGAGGGCCGAATGATCGGCCCCAGAGGCCCCCAAGACGGCCCAAGAGGGCCTGAAGAGGGCCTGAAGACGGCTCCAAGATGGGCTCAAGAGAGGGAACGCGAACCGACT